GAAATTGGCCACAAAGTCGGCCAAAACTTGTGACTTAATTGCAATCATAGGTTTGTATTTTATGTCAAATGCGCTCATTTTGACGGCCATTTGGCCAGCCTACCTGAGAGTTCAGGCTTATGAAGAATATTCTGCAAGGGAAAAGTGGTCACCACAGCTCTCAGGTGACATTGGAAATAAGGCCTTAGCTTTTGAGCGGTGGCTACGATGGATAAGGCCAAATTTTCCAGATGCGGGTAGCGAGTTTCTGCTCCCGTTAAAATTTTACTAATGTAGTAAATAGGAGATTGCGTACATTCGTCCTCATGAACTAAAAAAACACTTACCGCAACCTCCGAGACTTCTAAGTAGATCAACAATTTTTCACCTTCCTCTGGTTTCGATAGTAATGGAGGACTTGAAAAATACCTTTTCAAATCCCTTAAAGCCTGTTGACATTGCGGGGTCCATTCAAAGGTTTTCTTCTTTTTGAGCAGTGCGAAGAAATGATGGCATTTCTCCGAAGACCGGGAAATTAATCTGCTCAAAGCGGCCAATCTCCCTATTAGCTTTTGAACCTCTTTTACGCTTGATAGTTGGTCCGGGATGTCTTCGATGGATTTGATATTATTGGGGTTAACCTCGATCCCCCTTTGTGACACTAGGAATCCCAGGAATTTATTGGAGTTGACCTCGAACGCGTACTTCTCGAGGTTAAGTTTCATGTTATGCTTCCTTAAGATGTCAAAAGTTTCTTGCAAGTGTTTGAGATGATCATCTGTGTTCAAAGACTTAACAAGCATATCATCTATGTAAACTTCCGTGGTTTTCCCTATTTTCTTTTCAAACATCTTGTTCACGAGCCTTTGATAAGTGGCTCCGGTGTTCTTTAGCCCAAAGGGCATCACATTGTAACAATATATGTCGAAATGCATGACAAAAGAAGTTTTCTCCTGATCTTCCGTGTCCATTTTGATTTTGTTGTACCCGGAGTAAGCATCGAGGAAACTCATTAACTCGTGCCCGGTCGTTGCATCAATACTTTGATCAATGTTTGGCAATGGGAACGAGTCTTTCGGGCACGCCTTAAATCCTTATAGTCTACGCACATGCGAAATTTATTATTCTTCTTTAGAACTACTACTACGTTAGCTAGCCAATCAAGATACTTTGCCTCTTGGATTTAATCAATATCAAACAAGCGAGTTACCTCTTCTTTGATAACTTTGTTTCTGGCCTCGACAATAGGAAATTTTTTCTTTCTTATTTGGGGGATGCTGGGATCCAAGCTTAGTTTGTGTACGACCACTTCTTGCGGGATACCTGTCATATCCGCATGCGATCACGCAAAACAATCGATATTAAATTTAAGGAATTCAATAGATCCAAACCTGAGCTCGGGTTGCGGTCCTGTCCCCAAGTGGAACTTCCTTTCTAAGAACTTTTCAAACAATGCAACTTGTTCAAGTTCCTTAGCTATAGACTTGGTTGCGTCTGTCTCTTCTGCTATCTGAAAATACCTTGGTACCTGATAGTATTCTGATGACTCTTCCCCTAGTTAATTTTGCTTAGATTGGGAGCAGGCGCCGGTTCCTATAATTATTATGACGCAAACTCCTTCCCTTTGCTACTGGAGACTGAGATTGCATTCATCTCCCTTGCTACTGGTTGGTCACCCCTTATTTGTATAACTCCCTCAGGAGTTGGAAATTTCAGCAACTGATGATATATTGATGGCACAACATTCATTTCGTGCAACCATGGTCCCCTAAGGATGATATTGTAACGCATATCGTCATCCGCTACCTCAAAAAAGGCCGTCTTCATCACCCCTCAGCATTTGTGGGCAACGGGATCTCTCCCCGAGTTGTCACCCTTGCCAGATTGAACCCGGTGAGGAGTTTTGTGGCCGATTTAATACTTCCGGTAAGCTTGGCTTACTCCAACACTCTCCATTGGATGATATTAGAGAGATTGCCATGGCATTGTTATGTGGTAGCACCAATCCATCCGCGTCTTCTCCGTAAAAGTAATATCATCTTCTGCGACTTCCTGAGTCTCTTGATGTGGGTCAATGATAATTTTGTCTTTATTACCGCCAAAAATATAACCCCATTAATTTGGTCCCCCCCCCCCCGAGAATCATGTTATTCATCAGGCGCGGGGAATATTCTCCTACTTTTGAAGGCTCCGCATTATCACGAATGCGACCGTAGTTATTTTTAGCTCGATCACTGAAGAATTCTCGAAGATCACCATTTTTCAACAATGTTACCACCTCTTCGCACAAATGTCGGCATTCCCCAGTCTGGTGACTGTTTGTCCCGTAGTATTCGCACCACAAGTTAGGATCTCTTTGGTTGGGATCAAACCTCATTGTCTTCGGGAACCGTGCTTCTTTAATGTTCCTCATATCCGACACCAGCTCTACTACGCTGAGATTGAAGTTATATTCCAAAAGCCTGGGGTAGGAAGAATCTCAAGAACCTAATGTTTCCTTGTTCTATAACAACCTGTTGTTTCGACCGCGACCAGCTCTCCTATCGGTAGTGAATCTATCTGCCAATCGAAAACCTGTACCACATCTTTCAGCCTGTTCATAGGGAAAAAACTGACTCCTCAAAGACCGTCAATCTGTGTCGAAACCATCTTTTGATTTCTCTTTATTTTTCTCCCGTTTCCGACCATTAACTGACGCTGGGAAACCGAGATGATCAGCCTTAATCCTTATCTTTGACTCATCTCGGTGAACATCCGCCCAAGTTGTTACCTGGAACTCGAGCAAACATTCTTTCAACTTTCGGAAAGCATCGGAGCTTCTCGGATTCAGATCTTTGGTGAATGCTTCAGCTGCACATTTGTCCAATATGGCCGGGAGCAACATCCTTTCCTTTTGGAACCTGGTTACAAACTCCCGCAGCAAATCAGACTCTCCTTGTGCAATCTTGAATATATTGGCCTTTTGAGCCTGCACCTTTTTGGCCTCAGCATGGGCCTTAATGATAGAATCTGCGAGCATCTCAAAGAAGTCTATGGAATACTCGGGCAAAAGCAAATACCATGTAAGGGCTCCCTTCATAAGAGTCTCCCCCAATTTTTTTAGCAAAACTGCATCAATCTCGTGGTGAGCTAAGTTGTTTCTCTTCACCTCTGTTGTATAGGTGGCGATATGCTCTTGACGATCCAAAGTCCCATCATACTTCGACACGTCTGGCATTTTAAACCGCTTCGGGATCAGTTCTGGGGCCACACTGGGTTTGTACGACAATTGTGTGTACTTCTTTGAGTTCAGCCCCTTCAGCACTGGTGGTGCGCCCGGAATTTGATCCATTCAGGCATTTACTTCCCTCATAAATCGCATGAGTTTAGTTTTAAAGAGATCACTCTCGCTGTTGTGACCGGTCCGCTCCCCCGGCCCCATTGGAGTCGACCTCGTCCCTCAGGGTGTTATTGTCGACCTTCTACGTAGTTTGGTTTATGGGAGCACCGGGAAGAACTGGACCTCGTCCCTCAGCTCTATCATGACCTTACCCTGTCTTGTGAGATGGCCTATAATGGCCTCCTGTTGTTCTTGCAAGACCTTGATTGCTTCGACGACGTGCTCTTCTTTAGTATCATCAAGAGTCGCCTCCCGAACATATCACGGATATCGACGTCATGGAACGGCATGGACTTGTTCCCATCGTTATGGGTATCGTTGATAGAATCTTCATGTTGAGGCTGATTTCCTTGGGCCTCAATGTTGTGCATATTGTTAACACCACTATCTGTCATTTTCTATGATTTTGCTAAGGATAAACATTCAAAGAAGTTAGTAACAGATGCAAGGTTCAATTGAATTACACAACTGTCTATGCCCTACGATAGGCGCCAAACTATTTACCCGTAAAACGGTACAGTTAAATTTATACGTGGTTTATAGATAAGTGAATTAATTTGATCCAAAAATAACATATGAATTAGATAGAAATATAATACATAGCCTTAAAATTGAAATAAACGACAGATATCTCGGTTCCGGGTGTAGAGCTACCGGGAGCAATAAGAACAATGCAAATAAGCAAGAAAATAAAATGTTATTAAGCCTTTGATAGAATATAATGTATGCTTGTTAAAAAAATCGCCCATTTACAATGATGATTGAGCTCACTATTTATAGTTACACCTAGAGAACAAAGTTCTAGGATTAAGCTCCTCTTTAATGACAATTATGAAGGACATTTAAGAATGTGTAACGGTGGGCAATGAATGCCATATTCTCTGTAACGGATCATGCACTTAATGTTGTAGAATATTCTTCATTAAATGCTACTGGATGGCAGAAATTTATTTTGTCTTTATGAGTATCATTCTCTCCGATGACAAGTGTAAGCACGTGATTTTTGCCCAATATGAGAATTACTCCCAAAAAATCCAAAAATAAAATGATTTTTCTTTGGTGTGCAATTTTGTGATATTTTGAATAATTATTTGTATTTGTCTGTGCGTGTTTATTTGCTAAATTAATAAAAAATTACAAAAATATGTCGCATTTTGCATGTAGGATTTAATTCTACAATTGTTAGTAATTAAATTTGTTTTACAAAAATTAAAAATTACAAAAATAGGCATCGTTTGCATTTTTAGCATTTAATGTCCAAATATACAATTTTATGCTTAATTATTACTTAATTGTGCGTTAATTGTTATTGGGAGTTAATTTGCGCTTTTATAACTTAATTTAGTTCTTAATAATAGTTTAAGTATTTTTATAATTTAGTTTTAGAAAAATAAAAGAAGAAAAGAGAGCGAAAATATAAAGAAAGTCGGAATTGGGCCTCTTCTTCGATTTCAAGCCACAGGCCCAAAAAATGGCCCAATCTTCCCTACGACCCAGTCCATTTCGAACTGGGTCGACCCAGTCCATAACCCAAAAGACCCAAACCCCCTTTGTCTTTCATTTTTTACAAAACAAAAACAAAACAAAAAAAAATAAAAGAAGAAAACCCTAAAGAGCTAAGCCATCCCCCCCCTTTCTATCTTCTTCTTCTTCCTCAAGCTTCAAGAAAGCCAACAATGGCCACCCTATCTTCTTCCTCTTCAAAACCTCAAAACCACCCAACTCCCATGGCTGCCCGTACCTGCTGCCTCACGTTCTTCTCCTTCAAACCAACCAAACCCTAAACCATCGTCACCCCTCCAAAACCTCTCCGGCGATCCTCCATTAAATCCGACGACCACTGCTGTCCGCCATCGTCTTCCTCACCATCTTGCCCAAATGATCCCTCATTCCACGTCAAGCAGCAGCAACTGCTGCTGCGTTGTCCAAACTATCCCTCACGTCCATACATTCCGTCGCCATAACCAGCTCGAACACCCGAACCACCACCAAACGACCATCGTTGTCATGCCCGCTACTACTGTGCCGTGCTACTGCTGCTGCTCGTGTTGTTGTCTTCAGCTGTTACTGTGTCGCGTCCGCCTTCATCTTCTTCGTCGAGCTCAAGCTTGAGCTCGACGTCCATGGTCTCCACTCCTTCGATGAGCTTTCCGCCATGGTTGCTTCCAATACACCCAGCTCCAGCATCATTAACGTCAAACAGAAATTCTGGACAACATTTTCGCACCATTTCTGTTGATCTTCTTGGATTTCAATCTGAGTTTCGAAGTGATAAAAGTCAATCGTTCGTCCGGGAGCATTCAAGTGATTTTGGGGCGATAATCATTTCCGGACAGATTTGTTTTCATGCAAGTTCATCGTTGATTCATCTCCGGTTAGTTGGTTTTGAATCTCACTTATCGTCCATATTTTGTTTGGTATTTTTCGGATCCAAAATAAAGAAGTGATTTAATTCTTGTTTGATTTGTTCGTCGTTGAAATAATTTTCTAGTTTGTTCATGTTGTTTGTTAAATTAATTTTCAGATTTCAAAATAGAAGTTTAATTAGTTGTTTTCATATTCATTTCATGTTTGTATTATTGTTTAAGTGAATATTTGTTAGTTTGATGTTTGTTAGATTCAAATTGAAATTTAATTAACTATTTCTTCAATTTGTTTCATGTGTTT